GGTCTTTTTTTTGGAATTTTAGGGTTTGGGAAGTTGACTAGTTTAGTAGAGTCTAGATCCTCTGTCATGGCTATCTGCTGCCATGTTCCAAAATGACGTCGTTTTGTTTTGTTTTGTTTTGTTTTTCTTTCTTTCTTTTTTTCTCTCACTGACCTCTCAAAGGTTTGTGAGCTCTCACATGAACCACTAACAAAACCCAAATTCGAAATAGACTCAGAAGAAGAAGTGCATTCTACTTGAAGCTCACATTCTTCATCAACAAAGCCTTAGCTCTCGACTCACCGATCTGACTCTCTCTGATTCATTTTCCCCTATACGAGAAAGTAATATAGGTGTTGTAGAACTCGAAAGGGTCGAGATTTGGGTTCTTCACGACGTACATAGCAGCAAATCAAATATTAAATGAGACTAAAGTGGTGAGATTGTTGATTGTGGAGGAGTTAGCTTGAATTTGGGGGTTTTGGGATGCAAGATTGTGAGATCGATGGTGACGAAGATGGTGGTTTGGAGGATGAAACGGAGTGCAATGATGATTATGCATTTTGTATTTTTTTTTTTTGTTAACAAATAAGTATTTGTTTTGAAATCTGGGTTGTAAGATGTATTGTAAGTGCTTGTAAAAATGTTTGATTGAATATAGTTAGTGTGAAACCTAGGTTGTATGATGTACTTAGTATTTGGTTTGAAATCTGAGTTTGTAAAATGCACTGCAAATGCTTGTAAAAATGTTTGATTAAATATAATTATTTCACTTTGGTTAACAAGTTCCTTACCCTCTCTTGTTTATTTTCTTTATATACAAGTGGTGATTGATTTGATCATTTTGCTCTCAATTGGAGCTTTGGTTATTCAATTTTTCAGGCTTGAATGGTGTTATTTGATACAAATTCCAATTGACTTCTTTAACTTCTTATCTGCTTGTAGTCGGGTTGATGTAATAATGATATGGGTGGATAAGGTGATGATGTGAGCTTCAGGGATGGAAGCTAATGAATGGTAGTGCTTGATAGTGCATAGGGATTAAAGTTCATTTTATATTTGATGGGACTCAAAGTTCAACAATTTTTTTTTAAATTTTTTCTTTTTTTTATATTTTTATTTGAAGAGAATGACACTCAACTTCGCCGAGGTTGTTTAACAACTCTGCCGGTCTCAAGCCCTAGTAAAGGACGAGAGTTGTATGTTAGGTAGCTGACAGCTAACACGTAAAAACGATTCTAGGATTCCTTATGACAATGAATCATACTTTGAATCGATTTGATAGAGTCGAATGGAGCAGAATGATTTATGTAGTCGATCCCATTTAATGAGACTTAAGGTTTGGTTTGATTTAGTTTGGAGAGAATGAAACTTGTTTATGATTTTTTCTAGAAATGTTATTAGCATAAAAAAAAAAAAAATCATATTATCCAATTTGTGTTGTGACCAAATGTTGTTTTTGTTAAAAATTTGAAGAGGGTGGGCAAATATTGTATTTTGTATGCATCAGCTTAGCTGCTCTCTTTATATTGAATCTTGTGGTGTGTAATAAGTTTTTTTTGCAGAGAATATGAATGCCCAAATCTTGAATTACTACGAAGTGTTAGATCAGCTTTCCATCTTGTGATCTATTATTTATTTCTAAGTTTAGACATTTATGATTTTAAGGATTTTTATTTTTTTTAATTTATATTTTTTTTGAAGTTTGTGGTATATAAGTCATAGCTGATTTGTGAATGGGAATCTCATTGATGCACCACCAAGAATGTTTGGCAAGTGTAGTAATTTTTTCTTAGTATTCCTTTTAGAATTTTGTCCTTAATACCAGATAAAGTGAGATAATGTATATCTTTTTGTGACTTTCAAAACTGATTGTAGTTTCATTGACTGATTATAACATTTCTTTGTCTTGGCCAAAGATCAATGCAGACAATTTGAGTGTTTTATTGTTTGTCAAATTTTTACACCCCCTTTTCTCACAATCAAAACCATATACATTTTTGTACATTGTTTCCTCTTTTTAATTTCTATGCATTTTTCATGCTTCACCTCCCTACACCTCCCAGTCCCCAAAGAAAAACTAGAACACCAATTTTGTCCACTATTATAGTTAATTATATCTCCATTGCTAGCACCATCATCATCAGCACTAGCACTGAAACAGTCAAGTCTACATTAAAAAAATAAATAAATAAATAAGCAGTTGTATATTATGAAAACAAACAAGAAAGGGTAAGGGACTTGTTAACCAAAGTGAAACAATTATATTCAATCACACATTTTTACAAGCACTTGCAATGCGTCTTACAAACCAAAATTTCAAACCAAATACTAAGTGCATCATGTAACCTAGATTTCACACCAACTATATTCAATTAGACATTTTTACAAGCACTTCCAATACATCTTTCAATCTAGATTTCAAAATAAATACTTATTTGTTACCAAAATCAAGGTACAAAAAATCCCGAAAAATCCCACAAGATTCATAATCATCATCGCCCTTCACTTTGTCCTCCAAACCGCCATCTTCGCCCCCGTCGATCTCGCAATCTTATGCCCTAAAACCCTTAACTTATGGCTAAGCTACGCTGCAATCAACAATCTCACCACCTTAGCCTCGCTCGAAATCTGATTCACCATTGTGTACGCCGTAAAGAACCCAAATCTCGGCCCATTCGAGTTCTACGACACTTATATTACTTTCTCTTATAGGGGAAAATGAATCATAGAGTCAGATCGGTGAGTAGAGAGCTAAGGCTTTGTCGATGAAGAATGTGAGTTTCAAGTGAAATTCACTTCTTCTTCTTCTTTTTCTTCTTCTGAGTATGTTTCGAATTTGGGTTTTGTTATTGGTTCAGGTGAGGAAGTTCACAAACATTTGAGAGGTCTGGAAGAGAAGAAAGGAGAAAAAAAAGTACCAAAACGACGATGTTTTAGAGCATGGCAGGAAGCACTACAGGAGCCATAACAGAGGATTCGAACTCATTTTAGTTTAGTTTTTGATTATTTTAATAGGCTAAAATAATTGTATTTAGGAAGAGTGTTGAATTTTTTTGTAAACGTGATATTTGTAAGAGAAAAAATAAAAATAATTATGAATTTGATATGACATTTTATCTTATTGGCTATTTAAAAAAAATTTAGTGCTATTTTAACTCAAAAAGCCAAAAAAAACCTTTTGCCAAACATTCCCATTGTCTAAACTAACTCTTTCTGTTGCCTAGATCCTACAGGCCATTATTATCTTTCATATCCTTTGTATTAGGAAAATCCATCCACTAAAAATAATTATACGAAAAAAAAAGCGCTACAATATTAATGTGGTAATTTTATTGTTTAAATAAAAAGCATTGCCATGGTATTTTGTTCTAACATATGAAGTTTATATTCAGCCATATTCAGTCTTTATCATATAAATTTTGTATCATTTTTTTATCTGTAATGTCATTACTCTTTGAATTATTAATAATGTTAGGTACATAAAATTAAAAAATAATAATTATTATGTGACGCTAATATTGGTCTTCAGTATAATATATCAGTACTCCATGTCAGTGGTCCTTGTGGTTTTAAACCGATTTAGTTTGCTGGTTGATTTACATAATCTCCTACCTTCTAATTTTATGATTTTTTTTTCTCCTATAATTCATTTGAGAAGTGGTTGTTTTAGTAATTTTTTTTTTAATTTCTTGTTTTTTGGCTAAAATATTTTTGCCCCTTACTTTTAAAAAAAAAAAAAAAAAAAAAAAAAAAAAAAAAAAAACATATAGGAAATAAGAGTTTGGTTTTGCTAAAGTAGAAAATCTCAACTTTACACGTGAAGTTCGTGCGTTATGATATCAATTTGCACTCTTTCGGTGATTTAAACTGTTCATCTTATATGACAAGTTAAGAAAAATATATATGCAAAAAATTGAATTGATTAGATATAATTAATCACAAAATCAAATCACATATATCTTATAACAAATGGATGATATATTTGTGGAAACATATATTACTGTATAGATAAAAATAATTTGATGGAATGACAATCGATATTCGATCAAAAAAAAAATGACAATCGATATTCGATCTTTTTAATTTTTTACGTTAATAATTTCTTAATTAATTGTATAAGATGAATGGTTTAAATTACCGAAATGAGTCCAAATTAGTTTCATAATGGGTCAATTTCATCTTAAAGTTGAGATTTTCAACTTTAGCAAATTTGAACTCATTTGATTTTTGGATAAAATCTTTAGCTCCAAAATGAGGTCTATAAAATTAGCCAGTGAAATTAATTATCTGACGATTTTATACTTTGATTCAGCACGGGAAAAAAAATATATAGAAAGGTTCAACTTTTATTGATTTTTTTTTTTTTATTTTAATTTTAATTTTATTTTTTTATAGCAATATTCATTATCTATGAATTTATCCACAAGATTTAAAATCTTTTCACTCTATCATTAAATATGATTCCTATACTTTTATTTTTCATTAACACATGAATTTTATAATTATATTTTGAAACAATTTTGTATCGTTATCATCTTAATATAAATTTCTTATATCATGGGCATGGTAAATCATGTTCACTCGATGTTCGTACTAAAAAAAAAGAAAAAAAAAAGGGAAAAGCGGTGGCCACATGGACAATGAGGGCCGCTGGCCACGTGAACAATGAGGGTGGCTGGCTTTCGCATGGAAAAATTATTGATTGGTTTAGAATTAGCACAATTATACCCTATATCAATTATAATTTATAATTTTTTTTCTTATTTTGTATTTAGTTAATATAAATTTGTGAATTTTATCTCTTCTATCAATCACAATATTATTAAGGTACTATGCGACAATACCCTAAGACCAACTAATAACTTCTCCTGCACACAATATTCTGATATAAAGAATTGTCCTCGTGTTCCTCAAGTTGAACATCAAATTACATGAATATAATATATATATGAAGTATCATATATATATATATATATATATGAATATTTATCCTCATAGCAAATAGCAAGTATAGCAAGATGAGAGTGGTAGCAGCAATATTATACATTGCTCTCGCAATTTGCAGCCTTGGAGTCCAAGGCAACGTCCCGGCCTATTCCTCCATCTCCTTCAATGCGGCAGGTGCCACCGCGGCCACATACAGAGACTTCCTAGGGGAACTGCGAGCACTCGTGTCACGGGGAACTCGTACAGTAAATGGTCTACCAGTGCTGAACCTCGAAAGTGAAGTGTCGGCTGGGAACCGGTTCGTTCTGGTCGGTCTTATCAATGGCAACTACAGAGTCACCTTGGCAATAGATGCGGTGAACCTTTATTTGGTGGCTTTTAGCGGTGCAAGTAACAAATCCTTTTTTTTCAAAGACGCTACCACACTTCAACTCAACAATTTATTCGTCGGCACCAGTCAAACCAAGTTAAGCTACAACAGCAACTATGTCAGCCTCGAGAACCAGTCAGGAGTTAAGAGGGACGAACTCCCTCTGGGACCAACTCCCCTAACTGAGGCCATCACAAGTTTGTCGAAGGGTGAGAGCGTAGCCAAACCGCTCCTTGTGGTCATTCAGATGGTCTCGGAAGCGGCAAGGTTCAAATACATCGAGGAACAAGTCCGCCAAAGCATAACCGCTGGAAACACTTTTACACCAAAAGGTTTGATCGTGAGCATGCAGAACGAATGGGGGTCTATGTCCAAGCAAGTTCTGCTTTCGCCAGATGGAGAACGCTTCATTAACAGCGTTCAGCTTCTAGATGACAATTACAAGACCCTCATAATAAACGACTTTTCTACACTCAGTCGCTATACCATGATAGCGATTCTTCTCGGCAGCAAGCTTACTACTAGTAGTTATAGCAATATTGCTCTTGCCGAGGATTTCGTCGACAACGAATTGCTCAAACTCTGAAACTGCGGTAACTGCCTAAACCCCACATGTCGCCCTTAAATAATTCTAGGTAACCTTCTCTCTTCTCAAACTGGTTTGAGAGCATAAAATAAACGGTTACCCTTCATCTTCCTCCACAGATAAGTCTGCTTTGCATTTCGTTTTGGACTTTTGTGGATATATTGGCATATGTGGGGGTTAATGTGATATATTGGCATATGTGGGTTAATGTGATATATTGGCATATGTGGGTTAATGTGATAAGTCGTCTTCTTTTTTTCCTCTTATGTTGCATCTATTTTAATATATGTTAGAGGCGGGACACAGGCCAAAAAAAGTTATCAAAATAATATTGTGAGAAAGACATATGAAAAAAATTAGAATTAAAGAGTAAGATTAATAATAACTTCTATCAAACTGAAAATATATACAAATATTTTAAAAAGTAGTACAATATTTACAAAATATATACACATATTTAAAAATGATATATGATGAATCTATAGAAAATTTAATTTTGGTGGCATGGGACTGAGAATATAATTGCAAATCCTACAAAAAAGAAAAGAAACGAAAAGAAAAGATATAGACCAAGTTAGTATAATTTAATTTATTGTGCAAAGATTAAAATAAAAATTTACTTCATTCAAATGAGAAAAAACTATAAAGAGACTAACTTTAATTTTTTGTTTATGCAATTGATTGATTGTGTTATATATGAAGACAACCAGTATTAATATCATTAATTTTTTTTAAAAGAAAATTAAAAATTAAAAACTTACATTTTGACATTGGGTCATGTGATTCAAAATTAGATGTCCAATTCAATAATCTATTAAAATTGTTTTGATACAATTTTTGACACAAATCTGTGAAAATATTAAATTACATAGAAAGAAACAAATAGTGAATTGATATTCTTCATGTTGTCACGGTAAAGATATTTTATGATTCTTTAGAGTGAGAAATTGGTATGTGTAATAAATAAATTAAAAAAAGGAAAAATAAAAAAAAAAAAAAAAAAAAAAAAAAAAGAAGCAAAATTTCAGTTTATGAAAAGAAAAAAAAAATCAAATAATCCACGTTTTTAAAGATCTCCCAAAATATATATATATATATATATATTAGTATTAAGACATCAATAAGATAGATTAAAAAAAAAATTAATTTGAGCTGTGCAATGCACATAATTAAGCATATTGTCTTTTTTTATTATTTATTTTGTATGTCAAGATAAATTCTTTTTTCAAATATCATAATAATTAAATTAAAAATACACCATGAAAAACAAATATTTCTTAAATAAGGTCCATATAAAATTAGTTATTATAATTAAAATTGAATTTGTGTAAAACTTTATATGTAAATGAAAAATACATACTGACGTGATTTTTTTTGGAAAAAAGGTAAGCCTTAGAATTAAGAATGTAAAAATGGCCTACGGCCCAAGATGGGCTCGGCCCATTTGGGCTTGGCCCATTGGCCTGCTTAAGGCCCACCCAAGGCCCGGCCCGGCCGAGGTCTAATGTATTTTTTTGTGAAAAATAATAAAATTTTGGTAGAAAATTTTTAAAAAAATAAAAAAAAAATGCTCAAGCCCGCCCAACCCTGGCCCAAGCCCACTGGGTTGGCCCGATGCCCGGTCTACCGGCCCGGCCAAAACCCGAATACCCCTAGGCCTAATTTCTTGGCCTGTGGGCCGGCCCGTCTCGAATTTTAGCGGGAGCCCGCGAGGCCCGGCTTACACCTCTAGTTAGAATGTGCTACATAAGAAACGAAAAAACACTACTTATATATATATATATATATATATATTTGGAGCACGTATTTATTTTATGGGTACTCGGTTCATAAATTCAATTTAATTTTTTTTCTTCTAAGAATCCACACTTTAAAAAGTACATGAAGGAATTTTTTAGTATTTTTGTGTTAAAATGGAGTGTTACGTTTGGGATATATTGATTGGAGTGTTACATTTGGGAAAAAAAATACACTAAAGAGTTTTTTTGTGCATTACATTGGAATGTGTTATATTGGAGTGTTATTTAAAGAAAAAAAAATACATTAAGGAGTTTTTTAGAGTGTTACGTTGTTACGGTTGGGAAAAGTATACTAAAGAGTTTTTTTACTATATTACATTGGAGTGTTACGTTCTTGTTTGTAATGTGGGATTTGTTTCATAAAAAGGAAAATCTAAAACCTTTAGAATGCGAATTGCCTAAATGTTTTTGGAGAAACCCATTTTTATCCCTAAATAATTAAACTCAAACGTGTAAGTGACTATTATTTTGTGTAATTTTCACTTAAATGAGACTTTTAGGTTCATAAGGAAAAAAAAAAAAAAGAATAGCTAAACAATTCATAAAATCACATTTAGAAATTTATTGGTGCTTCGCCTGTAAAATAAAACACAAACACGAACCAAAATAGAAAAATAAAAAAAAAATAAAGGAAAAAAGTGTTTTTATTATTATTTTATTTTAATCACAATGATTCATTATTTTTAATAATTCATAAGAGAGACTTTTGTAACATAACCAAAATTATTTATAATTATCACTACAAATATAAACACCATAACAAATTCATAATTTTTTTTTAGAAGAGAATTGTGTATGTAGTCTTTTTAAAGATAAATATTTTAATAAATAATAAAATTAAACAACAAAAAGGAGCCAAAATAAAATAAAATAATCAAAATGGAGAAATGAAAAAAAAAAATAAAAAGATTTTTTGGTTAAGTAAAAAGAAAACCAAAAACAAAAAAGAAGAAGATGCAACAGAGAAATAGCAGAAAAGATAAAAGCATAAATAATAATAATAATAATAAAGAGGCAATGATCATCTCTATGGCTGGAAAGAAAACCGAGAAAGGCATAAAAGGGTGAATTTTCCACAATATCCCTTAAAAAAATAATTAAAAAAAAAAGACACAAATTGACAAGATGGGAAAAGTGAAAGTAAGAGACATGGTATGAACAGTAAATCATTGTAGCAAACAACAATGATTCATCCCACTAAAAATATCACCACTAATAGCACTAATGCATTAAAAAAGTAAAAAAAAAAAAAAAAAAAAAAAATAAATACAACTCCAAGACCAAAACATCACATCATTAATGACGGGACCCACTGCCACCTAATTAGTGGGAGCACTAATTAGTGCTCCCAAGCATTTTTCTTGTAGCAAATGGCTCAATTCTAGTATTACATAGCAGAAAAAGGACTGGGCTTCTCATCTGCTCGTGATTAGACAAGAGAGTATTGTTGAATTCGTGGGATCTATTACAAGCCTCGTTTCGATAATCCGAACCATTCAATATATAGATTTCGTCGAGTACTGTATGCTTATAAAAAAATCACATTAATCGGATATTGATAGCTATCTCATCGAATCAGATTTCTGTCAAATGTTTATTTTTTCACCGTTCATTTTTTTTTTATATACAAAACTAAATTCATCATGTAGCTATCGATATCTAATCAACATAATTTTTTAATAGGCATATAGTACTGGACAAGTTCTACATACAGTTCAAAGTATCAAAACGGAACCCGTCGTAGACTACCACGGGCCCAACAGTACCCTCTAGTCCGATCACAAACTGGAGGGAAGCGAGGCCCTTGAAAAAAAAAGTGACCATATGTAAGGGTGGAAATTTGCTTGACTAGACCCATTCGGGCTCGGGTTGGCCCATATCGGGCCTCGTATGCTCCTGCCAAAATTCGGATCAGTCCAAGTCGGTCCAAGGGGTAGAAAATTAGGCCTAGGCCTAGGCCTAGGCCCTAGCTTAGGGGCTATTCGGGCCTCGGGTTGGGTAGGTGGACCTAGGCTTGGGATTGGTGTAACATCCCAAAATAAATGTAGTATGCCATCCAAAACAATAAGTAAATAACAATATGAATCAGACTATAATGTCCTTTTATTACATGGGATTCAATTGTACAAAAAGGTGACACATGCGATATATTTTCATAAATAGTCCATTCTGAATCCACATCATGTGTTACGAATCAGTAAAAAGAGATAAAAGCTAAACAAATAATCATAGTTCCTAAAGGCTTACATTTTTCCAAGCCAACGCTTGGGTACATCAAAGTGAGTCCTAAGCTCAATACAAATAAAGCCCTAAGCTTGTACAAAAGTGAATACAAAATAACAAAACCGAGTCTTCAGCTCCACAGTCCTTCCAAGCTAAGCCCTTTATGAAGGCATATCACCAACACCTAAAAATGGTTTATCCCAAATAGAGTGAGCGAAAGCCCAATAGAAATGATTTAACACAATATATGAATCTTAACAAAGATATAAAGGTAAAATGCATATGCAATGTCCATGTCCAAATGGTTTATATTTCTTTCTCAAGATCATGCCATGCTTTATTTATATCACAATTCTCAAATCATTTTCTCTACCATAGGGAACAAAAGGGAATTCTCCAACTGGTACAACCTTTCACGGATATTTCGTCCGCTGAAAACCGTCAAATAGAACCCATGTAAACGTAGTCTATACAAGTGATACTATAGTCATTTTAAGGATAATTTGTTTGCGAGAATCGACACCCATCTATTCCCGCATTTTTCGAGATTTTCACCCTGGACATACAGGTCAACTTAATTTGGTGAAACACACCTCTTTCTAACATTCAACCCTTTTTCTCAAAATCATATACATTTACAATGTATTAAATGAGCAACAAATGTTCAATGCATATGGATGAGAAATTAGTTTCAATTCACCTAATCCTCATGTAATTTCTACAACAATCATAGCCATCCTCCACCGATTACCAAAAACATATATTTCTAAAAAGATATAAAATCTCCAATATAGATAAACTTTCCAAAATTTCAGATGCGAGTGATAATACATATCCAATTCCACAATCCATATCAATATCCATCTAATTTCACATTTCCAACATCAATTCCATTTATTTATATAAAATAAATATTTGGGACATTTAAGGCAAAATCCATTTTCTTCCAAAATCCAACCCAATAGTCAAAATCAACAA